GTGTCTTCCTGGACTCACAGCTCCTGCTTGAAGAGCAGGTAGCAGTTGTGGCCAGGAAGAACTTTACACAGCCTCATCTGGCACATTAGTTGCATCCTTTCCTAGATTGGGGGGCCCTTCAGACAGTCACTCATGTCTTAGTCACCTCATGGCTTGACTACTGCAATGCACTCTACATGGGTCTGTCCTTGAAGACCACCCAGAAGCTTACACTGGTCCAGAATACAGTGGCACAGGCAGTGATGGACATGCCCCAGTATGCCCATGTAATATCTCTGCTTTGTGAGCTGCACTGGTTGCCAGTTTGCTTCCAGGTATGATTCAAGGTGCTGGTTGCTACCAATAATGACCCACATGGCATAGGGCCCAGCAACTTGAGGAACCGCCTGTCTCCCATAACTTCTGCCTGGCCAATTCAATCTGGCAGGGTTGGTGCATTCCGGGTTCCTTTGATTAAACAATGCCAGCTTTTGGGACCCCAGAAGCACACCTTCTCTGTAGCAACACCTCCCCTCTGGAATGAGGTTCTCCCTGAAATTCAAACAACCCCCACCCTACTGATGTTTTGAAGGGTCCTGAAGACCTGGCTCTTCACCCAGGCCTTTGGGAAGGGTGACTGAAGCCTGCTTTTTGTCTTTGTTCCCATCCTGTTTTATCATTACTGCCATCTTTGTTGTTTTTTGTTTTTAAATGTTTTTAACAATTTGTAAACCGCCCAGAGTTGCTGAGAGTTAGGCAGATGATGATGATGATGATTATATACACAACAACATGAAATCACAGCTGCCAGTTCTTTAGCTGGTGTTGGCCTTAATTCGCATTGAGTTCTTCTCAAGAACCTAGGATGTTGTAATAAATTGGCATAGTATATGTGCAGATCCAAGCAGTATGGCCTATTGTAATTGACAGATGGAAATGATGTCAATGTGCAGATTTTCTAAGTGCCTTCCAAGGTTTTTTGGTATGGCACCCAGTGTGCCAATAACCACTCGGACCACCACTGCCGGTTTATGCCATAATCT